AATTTACTTATCAAAAAATATTTACATTTTTTAATTGCTATATATCTCTTGCTGTGTATATTATATAACGTTATTACTTAATTTATAAGTAATAATTATTCTATTCTTTTATAAGGAAATCTATACTTCTATACTTACCATTAATAAAAGTAAAATCATCTTCTTCAATTTTCCTACTCAAACTTTTGTTAAATTAATTTATTTATTGATAAAAGAATTAATAAAGCACAATTGGTAAGAAAATAACGTTATTTATAACCAAATATTCTATGGTAAGTAAATAACGTAATTAAAGATGGAAATAATTTTGCAATATGTATATATAAAGATGTGTAATTACTAATGACAGAAAATAAAAGTATTCTAATAATTCACTGGGAATGGCCTACTGCTTCTTAAAAACTTTTACAATTTCGGAAACTATTGTATTGGGGTTGCCTTTTTTATTGGTGTATATGTAATAAAAAATGTAATATAGAAATGGTTTTTTTTTTTTTTTTTTTTGAATGCTACTAGCTCTATTACATTGTAGTATCTGTTCATATACTTTCTCAACCTACTGAAACACAAAGAGCTAATAACGCCTCCACTGAGGCTCGAACTTACAACCTTCCAAATGGAAGTCCAACCCGGGTACCATTGGACCACATAGTGGTTAATTAATAAATATCTAAATAATTTATAGTATTCAATTTTTGGTACTAAACAAATTTTTTTTTTTATTGTCATTATTAGTTATTCCTTCACAATAATTTAAACTTTGCCATTTCATTTTTTTAGAAAACGAGCCATTGTGTAATCATAATAATACACAAGCATCGTTATTGCAATCAAATATATCGGTCGATAATGCTCAACCATCATTACAATCAACTATTGGTGCACCATCAGTTATACCAGTCACCCCAACAATGATTGGTAAATATAATTTTGTATCAAAATCATTTGTAAGTATTTTACTGTATCATTTTTAAATATCTTAACTTCATATAAATAATTGCAGTGACAGGTAATGAACCGTTGTATGGTGGATTTATGATTTCTTCTCCAAGAACACCGATTAATATATCCATCAATGGTATTCAATTTTAATGTTCACATTATTTGTAATAACTTTTACATTTTAATAAATACAATTGTTTTTTTTTCTTACAAATTATTGATTACTTACAATTAACATGTTCATATTAATTACCATGCATTTATTTGTTATTATTATTTTCAAAATTATTACAATTCAGAGACTCATTCATATTTCTGTCTAAGTAGAATCTATTCTATGAGAATTATTTAAACACTTATATTTTTACGAATCTTTTTTTGCAATAGTTAATGTTTATCAAAGTTTGTTCGAAGATAATCATGTGGCCACCAGAGGAACACCATTGAGTGCAATCACAAATGGTATATGTTATATTTAAAATATCATTTTATCTTTCAATACTATAGAATTTTTTAATATCATTTTATTTAATTAACCATTGTTTGATTTGTACGCGTTAACTCTATTTGCAGTTGCTAGCAACCCAAATTTATACGCATTGAACAGTGATATTCGATCGTCCACCATTAGCTGATGTATCAAACGGTAATTTAGATTACACGGTTTACGATTTTTACAATCTTGGTTATTCCTATTTTATTAAAGTGCAATAATTAACAGTTAATTATGTTTTTTAAAGTGCAAAAAGCACCACATCATCATTCTAATAGTGGTTTGTGGTCAATTGTGAGAACTTCCAGTACAACATCGTCAAGAACAAAATACGGATTTCAAACAATTCGTATCTGAAAATAACGGATATGGTCATTTTTTATAAACTCACAACTCTTAGATATGTTCAATTTCATCAAACAACCAATAATGTGTTAATAATAAACTATTTATGTAATTGGATTCTTATTTGGACCTTGGGGATGCTTCTCATTTATGTAATTATTGTGGTGCCTTATTCTGGCGACACGAGCGCTCATTTCTGTAAACTTTTTAAATCTCATGTAATATTTAATAACACAATGCCTTATAATATATGGTAATAGTATGTTGTGATGATTATTATTTGATTTTATAATTTTTTAAACATTTTGTAGAATAAAGTTATTTAAATTTTATGTCATGCATGGAAATGAATATTAATTCGTTTTATGAATGAAAAAAAAATGAATATTACACACAAGAATCTATTATTAGTATTCTGTTAATAATTGGTATGGGAATCATGCCAAATGAAAAAGGAAATTAATATTAAAAATTCATTGCAAATATAATACAAGTTTTCCCTTCAAAAAAAGTAGTAACTACCAAATGAAATATTATGAAAGAAAAAAGAATGAAGAAAATATGAAATGAATATATTCATATTTCACTGGAAATATAATCAGCAAATTATATTATTATAATTATATTAATTATTTATGAAGGAAAAAGGAAAAGAATATATTAATATTTCACTGGAAGCATAATCAGTAATTATATTTTTATAATTATATTATTTTTTAGTTATATGAAAATAAATATTAATACTTTTTATGAACGAAAAAATAAATAAATATTACACATGGGAATATGTTATTAGTAACCACCAAATGAAATATTAAGAAAAAATTATGAAGGAAAAAGGAACGAAAATCAATTTTAATTCTTTTTAGGAAGGAAAAGGAAATGAATATATTCAAAAGGAAATAAAATACTAGGGAAAACAAAATGAATATATTAAAATTTTACTGGAAATATAACACAGTTTTTCCTACCAAAAAATTAGTAACCAACAAATAAAATATAAAAAAAAAATTATGAAGGAAAAAAATATGGCAATCAATATTTATTCTTTGTATGAAGGAAAAAAGAAATGAACATATTCAAAAGGAAATGAAATATTAGAAAACGAAATGAATATATATTAAATAATAATTAATTAATTATATTAATAAATAGTAATAATTAATATTTAATAATTATAGTATAGACAAATTGATATTGATATGTATTTCCTGAATATAAAATGATCACAAACTCATTTCTTTTCTACCATTATATACTTTTATTTCTTCTCTTATATTTCTCAACTTTCTCTTTATTGTTTTGTAATGAAGTCAAATTTTGTCACTGCCTCTGATCTATCTTCCAAAACAAGGAAACGCTTTATAGACCTTCAGTTGACGCGTTGTTATTTGTCCAGAGAATATCAACGCACAGCTGTCAAGGCGTCAACCACCAAACTCTAGAGTGCTTATTTCATGACTCTAAGGTACATATTGCATTTATATATTATTTAAATATCACTTTATTTTTGTGATATTACATTGAATATCAATTAATATTAATATTTATGTTGTATGTTGTATGTTGTATATTCTATACAAATAATTTATATAACTGAGTTGCAAGCTAGACAACGAGCTAATTAGACCAATTAATACAAATCATAAACACTGCTATATAAAATCTCTAAAGTTTCAGCACCGGATGCGTACATCTACACGTTGGCTATTAATTGAATAATTATTTGTTCGAATTCAAGCATTAATAACATCAGAAAACATAATCGATCCAACTCAATTATTCAATTGCACTATATAATATTTGGTGTTTTAATTTAAATAATTATATATCAATCCAAATACTTTTAATATATTACAACAAATCCATTCCGTGCATCGCACGGGGGCAAATACTAGTTATAATATAATAATAAAAAATTTCTCCACTTTCTCAATCAAGGTGTATTAAAACCCTAATAATATTGGAAATTAGTGATCGTTTTGATCCCTCAATTATGCTGTAATTATCAAATTAGTTATGAACTATTAATTTTGTCCAATTAAATCATTAATTATTAATTTCGTAACCAATTTAATTTTTCGTACTTACCAAATTGGTCATTGATCAGTTTGATGGATGACCAAATCCATTACGAAATCAATAGTTGGTTATATACCTTGATTTAGACACAACACTTTTATGGTTTAATCCTCCTCCTCCTCCTCCTTCTTTTTTTTTTTTTTTTTTTTTTTTTTTTTTTTTTTTTTTTGAGAATAATCTTTCCTCTTTATACACCAACATCCCATCAAAACTAAAAGATCTTTTTCTTTATATATATATATATATATATATATATATATATATTTTGAGTCTAATCTAGTGAATAAAATTTTAAATCATTTGGATTAATATGACTTATAATGAGTGTAATAATTCTTTTTTTTTTCCTAGAAAAAAATAATGATTTCTCTAAAGAGCATCCATAATATAAACTTTTTATTTTTTATTATTATTATTATTTTTTTTTGGGTGGATTTTAGGTGATGTGAAGGTAAGAGAAGAGATGAGAGAGTATTTTAGGGAACTATTGCAAGATATAGTTTTTTTTTTTTTTTTTTTTTTTTCTTTTTTGAATCTCACAAAAAAAGTAAGTTGGCTGATGCGCAAAACAATACTTGTTGGACGCGTATAAGCATATTTTGTTATTGTTGTTTTTTTTTTTAAATATTTTTTTTCTACTTTTCCTCTTTCTCCTCCGTTTCTCTCCCACTTGACAAGAAACAGTTTTTTAAAAAAATCTCACTATTGAAGATGCTATAAGTCATTTTGACAAAATCGCGTCACAAATAATGCGACTTTATAACTGGTAGTCTGGTACTAACATCATTTACATTCCTTAATTTGTTTAGAACAATCATTTATAGGCATTTAAACAAAATCTATCGTGACATTAAAAAAAATTGTTGTTAAAATTAAAAAGATAATTATTTCTTGGCCCTAAATGATACATTCGGGCATTTATTATGTTAGACATTAAAATTAATTTTTTTTTTCTTACATTTATTGCGGGTTAAAATGAACAATAGAAGTAATTCAAGACAATAAGGCACCCTATGGGGATTACCGGAATAGGGTGTATGAAGAAGGTGGGTGATGAAATCAATCCAGACTTCAAAGGTTGTTAGGTAACGCTTTGGTTTGGTTTGGTTTAGTCTATTTTGCGGTGAAAAGAGGGAAAAAACAGACATTTTAGGTACGAAAAGTACGAAACTAAATCAAAGACCTCACGCATGTATGTATACATATACAAACACTTGTCGTAGCCACCCAATCCCATTCATCACACGTCTTGAAGATCTTCAAAAACAATAAAGCAAATCTGAAGTTGCCCAAAAAAAAAATTTCAAGAAAAGTGAATTTACTGCAAGAACGAGGCTCCCTCTTCTCTTCTCTTCTCTCCCAGAAGCTCAATTGTTGACTCATCTGACCACCCGACAGTGAGGGTTGTCGTCTGAGGCCCGGAGCTGACAGTTTTTGTACTATAATATATCCTATATAAAAAGGAATGGCGATAATGCAGTGTTAGTTCAAGGTTTTGAGGCCACCCCGGAACGCCCTTTCTGGGTTTTCCTCGACCTAGCTATACTAGCTGCAATGGCGGAGCAAATCTGTTTCCTCTCAAAGGTCTCTTTTTTATTTTTTTATTTTTTCTGGGTTTACTAACTTGTTATTTGAGGTTTGGAGCTATGTTTTCTTGAATATCTGTGCTGACATTGCAAATTTCTTGAGAGATTTTGCTTTACTCTTTGGATGGGTATAAATTTTTTTTGAGTGTAGTAAAAGGGTTTAGCTGAAAAAATTATCTGTTTTTCCTGATTATAGAATCTTGATCTGAGTTTCAGTGGTAGTTAGTGAAACTCCCCTACCCATTTGAGCAGATAGCATTATTGTTTGTTTGAGTGATGAATGTATTGAGCTTTTACAGTTTCTGCATGTGTTGAGAACTGGTGTTTTAGCAGATTAGTTTGTTTGGATTGCAGGGAACTATCATCATAAAAGCTCCCAAGAAATCTCCACCACTGTTAAGGATGGGACTGGTAGTGTTAGCAATGGTCTGTGGTCTTTTTATCTTCTGTGTATGTGTAAACCAGTCCAACACTCACAAACAACATAAATTCTTGAACCTTGAAGTCATGGATCGGGGTTGTCGTGACCTCGACATAGATAGATCCCGGATTCCCTACTTGCATTATCCGAAGCCAACAACTTTTAGCAGGTGGATGGGTATTTCGGAAACTTTGTTTTGTTTTGTTGTGTACTTATTACATACAGTCTTGTATTGTATGACTATGAATTTATGTCCTGTTCTATTGTTGTTGTTGTTGTTGTTGTTGTTATTGGTGTCTGCTAGGGCTGAATGTGCCTGTAACCCTGTTCGGCTCTTTGCCATTTTGACGATGCAAAGGTCTGGGAGTGGGTGGTTCGAGACGTTATTGAATAGTCATGTGAACGTAAGTTCGAATGGCGAAATATTCTCTGTGAAAGACAGGAGGGAGAATTTTTCTTCGATTGTGGAGACACTAGACAGGGTTTACAATCTGGACTGGTTTACTAGCGCATCAAAGAATCAGTGTTCAGCCTCGGTTGGCTTCAAATGGATGCTTAACCAGGTAATATAAAAACATGAACACTCGAAACATCTGTGCTTTATGCTGACAAATCGCATTGTTAGTAACGTTTTTCCAGACTCTTGAGTTCGTTATAGTATCCTTTTTATCCCGTTCAGGCACTCTAAAGTCGGCATTAAATAGGAATAACTGCTTCGTTGACCTTTTACTACTAGCCTACCACATTATCAACAAGAATTTATAGCAAATAATTGTAGACATAATTGATGAAAAGACATTCTAGCTGAATCAAAGTTTGTTCTTTTTCCCTTTTTCTACAAACTCCCATTCTAATATTGATGAAATTCCTGAGAGAAAAAAAGAATCGACTTTTCTTCATGAGATAAGATAAAACACTAATTATATTCCTTTCTAGGTTATATACAGGCAGCTATTTGATCAAATATTACCTAGTTTTCACCTATTATAAGGATGTTGCCATTCTTGCTAGGCCTGTTATTTTTACGTTTCAATTTTTTGACCTTATAGAGAACTTAAGCAGTCTTCAGAAGTTTACAGAAAAGGGCGTTCAGAAGAGGGGCCTGTATAAACTAATTAGTTTTCTCATTCCTGACCTGCCATTAGTCATACTTCTGGTGCAAATGCGCTCTATTGTAGGCATGTAGCTGTTGGGAATACTAATGGAAAAACCTCTATTGTTGGGTGACGAGGGAAACCCGCAACCACTATATGAGGGTGTGCACTGGGAACCCTACCTTGTGACCCTAGCCGACAAAGGACCACAAGGAGGTAAACCGGCCTAGGTTGTCCATAGCTGACCGGCTCAAACCAAGAAGGCTAATAGGCTGTTCCCGCTGGGAGTCAAACTTGTAACATTTTGTGGTTACTAAGTCAACAGCTTGACCAACTTGGCTGGGTTTGCCCCTGAAAAACCTCTATTGTTGGGTGACGAGGGAAACCCGCATCCACTATCTGAGGATGTGCACGGGAACCCTGCCTTGTGACCCTAGCCTGCAAAGGACCACAAGGAGGTAAACCAACCAGGTTGTCTATAGCTGACCGGCTCAAACCAAGAAGGCTAATAGGTTGTCCCAGTTGGGAATCAAACTTGTAATATTTTGTGGTTACTAAGTCAACAGTCTGACCAAATTGGTTGGGTTTGTCCCTGAAAAACCTCTATTGTTGTTTTGCCAAGAAGATGATTAAGCTGTGTTGTCATGATTGATGCAGGGGGTGATTGAACACCAAAGAGAAATCGTTGACTACTTCAATGAAAAGGGTGTTTCTGTGATATTTCTTTTCCGAAGAAACCTACTCCGCCGAATGGTTTCCTTGCTTGCAAATTCGTATGATCGACACGCCAAACTCTTGAATGGAACACACAAGTCTCATGTTCACTCAACTGAGGAGGTCCGTGTTTCTATCTCTCTCTCTCGAAAAGAAATCAGTTGTTTCTATACTATCTTGATCCCGCACTTCTTGTAGGCCGAAACCCTTGCAAAATACAAGCCTGTAATCAATACCACATCATTAATGACGGAATTAAAGCAAATGGACGTGATGGCCAAAGAAGCACTGCAGTTCTTCAGCAGCACACGCCATATCGTTCTATACTATGAAGACCTTATCAGAAACCAAAGTGTAAGAAAGCATCTCTTCATTCATCGATCAATTTTAACTTTCCTCTCCTTTAAACACCTAGGAATTACAGTCTTCTCCGATTCCTCATTTGTCCAACTTTTGTTGCAGAAAATGATGGATGTCCTGAAGTTCTTGAGACTGCCACACATGCATTTAACTAGTCGCCAAGTTAAGATACACAGTGGACCGCTATGGAAGCATATCAAGAACTGGGACGATGTTAACAAGGCATTGAAAGGAACGGTTTATGAAGGCTTCCTCCATACTGACTACTAATCTCGTTATCTCGCAGCTTCATTGATCAACAAAAAGTGTGAATTCTTCTACCGCCTTTATATCTAAACTTAACAGGTACAGATCTAGACAACACCTTTGATTTATGGGGTCTTAGAATATAGAATTTGAGTAAAAGGAAGTAATCTAAGCAGCATCAAGTCAGGTTGTTCTGTTACTGTTTTTGTAATTAAGCTAATGTTCTTAGTTTTCTTAATCTTTGATTGATTTGAGATCCAGGTTTGTATGCAGTGTTTTTCAACCCTATTGCTGACCATTAATCAAAAGAATTAGTGATTCTTATGTCTTTACTTTAGTTTAATATTTATATACATTACGCTTTGTTTTTTTATGCACATATAAAAGAAACATTATGACTACACAAATAATGTAAATAGATAAATGTAATTTTATGTACATTAAACTCTGTTTTTATAAAGATATAGAAGAAACATTATGAACCTACTACAATATACATGTAAATAGATATGTACTTGCAATTTAGTGTTTATGTACATTAATGTTTAGATTTATGATTATATAGAACAAATATTATGAACATAGTACAACATTATACATATGAGTGAATGAAAATACATATGATACATGCAATTTAGTTTTTGTGTACATTAAAGTTTATGTGTATGAAAATGTAGAACAATTATTATGAATATAGTACATGATAATGTTATTAAATATGATGCAAAACGATGTCATTTTGGACTAGAATTTATGATAAATTTGTAGAGAACGCTAAATTTATCTAATACCATACCATTATATGTGTATTTATTTATTACTTCAAGTATGGTTACTTTTGTCATTTGGCTATATTTTCCTAATTTAGTCCTCAACCACCTAACCATTTGACTTAATGTCTTGTGTAATTTCATAATTCAAACAATCAAACGGTTGAAATTGAGAAATTGAAAAGTCTGGATGGCAAATAACCAATTAACCACTGCCCCCAACCCAATTAATGAAAGATTTGATGTTTTGTGTATCTTCTTCCAAAAAGTTGAAACCCCAACCCCAAGGACCCCACATTTCGATTCAACAGAACATTTGGGAGGATGTAAATCACAATAACTCAATGTCTCAGCTGGTTATGATTTGAGGACTTCAATTCAGAGTTTTAAACTTGATCAATTATAATTTAGCTTCCTACTTGATAAGTTGGATTTCTCCCACTCAGACTCATAATCTACTGGAAAAGCTAATTACATTCAATTTTGTACCATTTCACCTAATGTGACAGACCAATTAAAATGAAGTACATCAACAACTCAATACATACCTTAATATCTAGATTACAAAATTTAAAAAGAAAATCCTTTACATATTTTCCTGGTAAGAAAAGTTAACATGTAGTGTAATTAACTATAGACATGTTTTTAATCAATCATTGATATACAGAAGATATCTTTAGTTACGACTAATCATCAATAGCTTGCATTTTCGGCATGCCAAGAAGTATTATTCGAACAGAATATACCACGTGGAATTGTGGGAACCCAAAAAAAAAAAATTGTTAAAACACTAGAGTAATGCAATAAGTTAAGTTCAGAAATCTCATTTCAATAAACAAATAACACTGTGTATGTGTGTTTTCTTGTGGCACAAATATTTTTGTTATGGTTATGTTTGGTAGAGATAGTTTATTTCAAGTTACAATTTACAACTAAGTTATAAGTTTTGTTAAGTTATAAGTTTTGTTTCGTAAAATATGAAGAGTTTAAAATAATAGCTTATTTTGAAACACTACCCCAAGTAGTATTTCAAAATAAGCTATTCACTCCCCCTAATCAAAATCTTAATATCTCTGTTTATGACTTTATTCTTTTTGTTGGTCCCAGTATGGTAGAAAGATAGTCTAGGGGGGAATAGACTCTACTCCAATTTTAAAAACAACTCCTTTCGGGGAGTTATGCACATCGGAAAAGTGTGAATTCGTTTTAGGATTTTCTCTGCACGATTTAGTTGTGGAAAAGTTTAGGGTTTGATCAGTATGAATGCAATGCCAGATAGATAGATAGACGAAAGTAAAGAGAGTGAGAGAGGAATTTTTATAGTGGTTCGGCTATTAACAAAGCCTACTCCACTCTTCTTTCACAACTCATGAAATGGTTTGCACAATCACTCCTAGTACAAACTAAACAAACTAGCTTCCTTGATCACTAAGCCGGACAGCTACTTGTGTAGGTTTTTCAACTCCTCGAGTTTACTCCGCCTCTATCAACGTCTTCTTCAGATTTGAGGGTTGGAAAGAATTGATGGTGTTCTCCAACTTGTGAAATCTTGACTTGATGATGCTTGAATCTTCAAATATAAGTTGCAAGATTTCCTTGTGTTGTGAAAGTTTGAAGTCTAGATGGTCTCTAAAAAAAACTTCACAACAACACACTGGTTTTGAAAAGCTTTTTGGATGATACTTGTTAACAAAGCTTTTGAAGATAAAGATTGAGTGAAAAACTAGCACCTTCTTCAGTGGTGAAGAGAGGTATTTATAGGTGAGGAAAACCACTGGGCATGAAGCATTTAATGCGGCTATATTGTGTAGCCGTTGGTAGAAAAAGTTGTTTGTCTTTTTGTCATTTTTCACTGACAAAGGTACCAATCATTTAATGCTCATTGGTTTTCGTGAATATCATTCCTAAGACCCCTTTTGTCTAGGATGATTGCCCAGCTGCGAGACAAAGACTAACATTCTTCTGGTTCACGTGTAGAAATTGTCTATTCAAGTCTGACTTAGACCCTTGAAAACAGTTTACGAAAGATTGTCCTTATCTTTCGTCTTTCTTTTCAGGTCAAATGATTTCCTGATCATTTGTTGTTTACACGAGAGTTAGACTCTTCCATCTTTCGGTCTTAGTTGTTCTCTCGGCCTTCTCTTGATCTTCTCTTCTTCAAGTAGGCCTAATTCACTAAATACAACTCTGATTCGTGTAAATGTGCTACTAAGCACGAATCACATGGTGAGTTGTGACTACTTTCGTCTAACACGAAAGATGCAAAATAACGAGAGTAAAAGAGGGGTCTACATTCCTAGTAAGTTTGATATCATCAAAATCTAAATACATTTGTTCCTAACACTTTTATGTCTTTTTACACTTATCAGCTTATTCAATAACTTAGCTTATTAGCTACTAACTTTTCAATTAGGCGTGACAAACATAGCCAATGAGTAATCATCAATCGAGGTGCATTTTCGGCATGCCAAGATGTACTTTTCGAAGAGTATATACCCAAAAAAAAAAAAAATTAATAAACACAAGAATAATGCAAATCAGTTAAAAAGAGGTTCAGTTCAGAAAACTCACTTAAAAATAAATAAATAATAGGGCTATAGGAGTGTGTATTCTAGTGGCACAAAGGTATCAAGTACAAGGTTGGAACTAGATGACCAGCCTTTCAAAACCCCTTAAGTCGTTCACCTTTTGTCAAGGTGACTCCGGACTTTAAAAAAAAAAAAAAGGCAGCTAAGTACACAGAATAAATTTATAGATTCTCCAGTTGGAAAGTAACTACGCTCAACTGAAAACAAGGAATTGATTATGATCTGAGCATAGCAAGTACATGCAAGCCATAAAAACAAACATTTACCCTGAAAACAATGTTTGGTTCCATGATAAATTTGTCCCCAGTCCCCACAACTTCTTCCTATATACTATAAAGAATTTAAGCTCACAAATATTATTAATTATTATTATTCTGACCTGCATAGCACAACCACCCCACCATACGAGGAACTTGAGGGCTGGAATCTTCAATTCATACGCTTGAGTTTGGTCTGTATGTAACCTCCTATCACATATCACGTACAGAAAAATCTGCATTACCTGTTTCGCAATGGAAAAGGTGATCATAGTTTAAAAGAGGGCTGAGAAAGAAGACAGACTGCCCATGCAGCTTTAACACATATTATATGCAAGTGTTGTATGTAACAAAAGAAAAAGATACTGTACCTGTATTTTTTAGGTATTGCATGCATCTTAGAGAATTAGGACCTGGCTTTGGCAAGCCTCAAGTTGCTTATTTTTGTGTATAAATACTCGAGGAGGGAGTGAGAATACAAGCATCCAGAAGACCAGAACTAACTGAATATTCTCTCCATATCTCCATATCCCCTTATCCTCCTTAGCTTGCTCTTCATGGCTCAAAGAAAGTTGGTTCTTACTGCCCTTTTGCTCCTAATCACATTACCCCATTTTCTTCAATCTACAGAAGCCAGGCACTTGAGGCATGGGAGCAAAAAAGGGTTCTCAAAACTTCACTTTCACACAAAGATGTCTAAACCGAATGTTAATAGCGGAAGCAGGACAGCATTTGATGACGAGCCAGAACCTGTAGCACCAACAGCGCCAACTCTACCGACTCTAGCTGCACCTGTGTCTCATTCCTCACCTCCAGGTCGTGTTGATGGCCTAAGACCTACAGCACCTGGTCACAGTCCTGGGATTGGTCATTCTCTTCATAACTAGGATTAGATTAGCTGTAATATTGGGGTATCAAACTCCTCAAATATAATATTGCATGCTATATTATATTTACTATTCTAAATTTGGCATTTTTTGTATTTATCTTATTACTTGAGAATGCAAGATATTGCCACTCAAATCATATTCATCATATATTACCCAAAAATTCTCTCATCAGATAATAGCATTTGTGAAGAGCACTCATTTTGTCTTCAAAGCGTCTTCTTTCCTGATGGAAACAAATAAAGAAAACTTGTAAAACCAAAGTTGAAAGTGGTAAGAATGGATTCTTTTTTAAGATATTCAGTCTTCCCTCCCCTTCTCCAGAGTAACTAATGTGAGTCATCTAACCTGAATCCACAAAAGAATAAAAAAGAGAATAAAAGACCAAAAAAGAAAAGGCAAATAACTACTATGCTCCATATAAAACAAGCACCTTTAAAATTTAAAAGATTCGCCGACTCTTTTATTTCTATTATGATAATAATTTAAGCTGCCAACACACTCAGGCACCATAGCCTAGCACAGCAGAAAACTAACTGATTTCTTTGATTATTATTATGTTTTTCATATTGTATTCTTTGGTGGGACAGTGCCTAGAAGATTTTATTGAACTTGTGGAGTCGGCTGTTTAAAATGTCATTTTGGAAGAATCTACTGCCTCCATTTGAAGGGAGAGACAGGTATTGAGGAGGGATTTCAACAACTAATAAGCACTTTGAAGGAAAGCAGCAGTTTAATTTAAGGACCCTCAAGTTTACATTGACCAACTCACTTGGCCCTACCCACAGCCCAAGCTGCCACCCTCCAAATTTATGACATTTTAAAACAGAATAATCAGTGATGATAATATTTTTTATAGTAAAGATGTATAAAGAACCTTGCACTAGCCTGAGCGTGCAAAAACCACATGAGTAATGGCAATAGAATTGGAGAGAATGCAAAATCCATGGCATTTCCTCTTGATTGTCTTCCTGAAACAGAAGTAGTTGAAACCATAGAGGAATACTGTTGTGCACTCATAGAGTAAGAACTCTTTTCACTCTATACTCTAGGGAAATAAATGCAAGATGATCCACTTTTTAGAGGGCTGACAAGAGTTCAAAAATGGGAATTCTGTGGTGATTAATGCATCTAAAGTAAGAAATTCATTATTCCACGAGCACACACACAAAAAAAAAATCTTCTTAATTGCAGTTAGTGCTAATAGTCAAGGAGAGTGATAAAGGTAATCATGTGTGACTGGAGAAGGAGAATTTAAAAATATTGCTGGAGGTCAAACATCCAATAGAATAGTAGTTTGCATCCTACCAAAGTGAGTCCTAAACCATTTTATTATGCTACTCATTGGCCCACCAACCAAATTAAAAAATGTAACACTTTCTCACACAGAAAAAATAATGAAATAGAGAGGAGCTTCTAAAATGACAAACCTCTGCCATGTCAGCATCTTAACAGCAAGAACTTGAAATCCATGGTCTTCACTGCACTTGTAGAAAGCAAGTGATGCAAATGTATAGTGAGTACCGTTACTTTGTTCCTTCAATAATAACTATAAAATAGGAGTAGCTAGCAGACTCACATTTGTATACTCTCCCTTAGCAGCAATGGTAACTATATGCAGGTCACATAGCATTATTTGCATTGCAGGTGTGTCATGGTGTCATCAGTTTTTATATCACGTCAAAATGGGACAACCATAAGAAAGTAAAAGAAAATTTCTTAACATAAGTAGAAGTAAGGGTTCATAAATACTGATAGTGTTTCATAAAAGATTATTTAGTTTGAATATTATCCTACATTTTATATGTTTGGCAAAGATTATGAATTGTGCAAAATTTTTAAACTTATTTAAATTATGAATTATTCACAATCTATAACCATAAGTTCTACCAAAGCGAACCTTTGTTGTAATCAATGCTTGGAAAAATCCTAAGGCAGATCATAGTGTTTGTAACAGATGCTTCTTTTTACTGGAAAATCAAAAGTAATTGTAAAGTCAAAGTGACACAAAATTACTTGCAGAAGTTCCATTGTTGAGCTTCAGCCACTTCCTTAAGCCATTCATTAATACCAGCTTATTTATGTTAGTGCTAGATTGTCCACCAATCAGAAACTTCTCAAGGCACCAGTGCACTGTCTTGGTGCAACCACTTCTAAAACACAATACTATTATTTGATTCCAAAAAGATAAAAATAGAGAAATAAAAGAGCAACAACAATGATGACAGCTACAAAAGCTGGCATAAAGGAATGTAAATTTAGCTATAAAATAACATGGTTTTAATTGAAAGCACCAATTAGAGTAAGTGAATAGTTGTTATGAATTGATCTCTTTACTCCAATCTGGGAATTAGAAAATGGGAACAAAATACCCAGAAATATAATGGATGATGCCACAATCTCCAATTACAGGTTTACAGCACATGAATTTCAAAAGTATAGAAATAAAAATAACATTCCTTCTGTCTAAACGCCACAAAATATACGAAGAAGTTGATTTGCTTAGTTAGAAAACAGGACTCTAGAATTGCGGAGGTGCTGGAAACAGTGTAGTTTAGCTGAACATTGAGCTAGCATTAAAAACCACATCTTGGCCAAACCATTATATAGCATATGCGAAAGTCCCCTTTATGATTTTCCTAAATTTTATCAAACCAGACTCTCATCAAATATGTCATATAGTTAAATTAAATATCTTGACAATGGTCATTAGTGTGAGATCTAAACTTTCTGAGCAGCTAACTTATAATGAGCTTGCCATCAACTTGAGAAATTTTATATACAAAATAGTGCCTGAGCTATATTAAAGGTGTGTTTGACTTTAGTTTGTCAACTTCAATGAATCAGAGGTTACATATGAGCCGCCCACCAATATACTAAAGAAAAGAGGGAGAGCACAACCAAGTGGGTACTAGTGAGGAGTCCTATCTTAATTGGTGGTGAGAAATAAAAATAAACATAAAAATATGAAAAGAAAAACTGCATACAATAGAAAAAGGAACAATAAACTTGCAATAAAACCTAGCTGAAGAATTAAGCAATAAAAATTAATTCTAAAATGTCCAGAGGATTGTAACCGACCAAATTTTTATTAATATACCAACTAATGATTTTTAAAAAGCATGAATTACAAACCCACGATTATAAATACTAAGAGAAGTGAAAAATGCAAACCATTCTGCTCACAAGCCTTCAGCAAAATCACTGTGTTGTAAACCACAACCCCTTTCCACTTTTGACTTTGTTTTTTTTTTTTTCCCCAAGCCGAAAAATTTGTATTTCATTTCACCTCAAGAACCTCTCATATAAAATAAAAAAGAATATTCATACTCACAGGCTGTTTCTATGGCCTTTGTCAAATATATATGTTTCTGTGCTTTCACTCTCACAGTAATTGGTTGTCACGAGGTTCAATTAACTGAAGGAAGGCAACTGAAAGAACAGTTTATGTCCTTCAAACATGAAGTGTTAAAGCCAGATCATGCAAGGAAAGCTATCAATTTGAAGCATATCACGGAAGGGCAAAAAGGTCACTCTTGGGTTGTAATAAAGAAAGAAACATCCCCACCAACGCTACCAAACAGTAATCTTTCTCCTGACACTTCACGTTCAAAATTTGTCAATGATTTCCAATCTACAACACCAGGAAATAGTCCTAGCATTGGACACTCTGCAGCTAACAAAACCAATACTGAAGCAAAAGCAGGAACTGATAATAGCCAGACTGTTGAGGGAAACTTAGATGATCTCAAAGCCAGAGAGCCAGGTCACAGCCCAGGTATTGGCCATTCATCCCAAAACAAAAACACAGGTCCCAATGAGTAGATATCACGATAGGTGTATATTTGTATGATATTTTTCTTACGCACACCTACTTTACAGTCTTCCTTGTAAATCCAATGGTTGGTCAATGTTGTTGAATTATTAGTTTGTGAATTTGAAAACATATAATCAGCATTAATCAATATATGAACTGTTGAATAAAATATTCTCCTTCCCTTTATGTAAGTAGCATACATGTGCAGCAGCTTCTCTACATCTCACATGCAACCCCATGCAAATTCACAATCAGAACTTTGAAGACATAAAATGCAAGTGGGAAGAAGAAGAGATCACAAAATATTCATAGAACAAATAACATTAAAAAAATAAAATAATAAACCTAAGACACTACAAGGAGAATGTTCTCTAAGCCAATGAACTTTAAGTTGGCAATGACATCACTTCAAGCTTCAATTTAAAAAATATCATAGAATGCCTAAAGTATCCACTAAACAGCAAAACCGTTCAAAACTGCTCAAGAGCAAAACTAGTAATCTTGTATCATAAAGATTTCCAAAAAGAGTCAAGTCCATGGATACAAATTATCCAAATTCATTATCAATGTCACAAACCTATGGCAATGGTTCATGAAGTACATCATCTTAATGTAAAATACAATTCAGGAAGGAGGTCCAGAGACCAACTTAACTGCAGATTACCACATTACCACAATAATTTTATTTTATTTTCCATTCTCTATATTTAATCCCAGAACCTTGATATTTCCTATCAACTCCAAGATGGCTATACACAGAATTCAAATCAAGAACATGAAAGCACGATTTAACTATAAATGTTGACATCTAACTGCAGATAGGCTAGAAAAAAGAAAGCTAAATGAATCTCTATTGCAAACTACATTACAAAAGAACTAAAAAGGAAATAAAAAATAAAATAAAAAATCTCAAATATCAGTTGCAACTCTAAAATGATTTCACATTCTCACTTGACCAGAAAATTGCAATTTATACCAAATTTTTTTGTAAGAAGTGCCACAATCCTCCATACTCATTAGCTACCTGAGCATGAATTGGATGATCTCACTACGAATTAATCCATCTTACATCCTATGAATAAAATTTTATACAAGTAGCATTGTCCATTTGTCCTCACTTGACCCATTGTGCTTTTTCTCTTCAAACGAAAAGTTAAAATTGACTGCATTTTCTTAAATGCCTTTGGCAGTAGATTCTTCCTTTGGAAAAAAGTAGCACTTATTAATTTGGGAAAAACAATTGTCATTTTCCTTGGAGCTACTACAATGACAAGCCGTCAAGCCCATCATATTAAAATAACTAATACAGAGTACTGAGTGGATGTAAACTGGTAGAGCAAAAAGGTTTCCAGATGGGGCAAACTACAGCTCTAACCTCCAATTTATATTAGCGCTCTATTCAAAGATA